TGAGTGAGCAATGTTCACCACCATTTACAACAGCTCGGATATTGAAGCAATTCATGTCCAAATACAGCAAGACCTTGACCACATCCATATTTGTGCTGACAAGTAACAAGTGATTGTGCCACACAAGTACCAGACAATGACCATTTCCAACAAGAGAGAATCCTACAGTGAGTAACTCCTTCCTGGTTACCCAAAACCTGGCCACCATTTACAAGTTACAAGTCATGAGTGTGATGGAATACTCCTTACTTGCCTGAATGAGTACCGTTCCAACAAAGCTCGAGAAGCTTATATCATCCAGGACAAAGCAGGCTGTTTGGTTGCACCACATCAAGAAAGATTCACTCCCTTCACCACTGACTTTCAGTAGCAGCAGAGTACACAATCTGCAAGATGCATTGTAGAAACCCACCAAGGTTCCTTAAACCGTATCTTCCATTCCCACAACTTTCATCTAGAAGGACAAGGGCAGCAGGTGGATGGGAATATCACCACATGCAAGTTCTCCTCAAAACTTCTTGTCATCCTGACTTGGAAATCCATTGCCATTCCTTCGGTATTGCTGGGTCAAAATCCTGTAACTCTTGTCCCTAAAGGCATTGTGAGTGTACCTACACAAATTAAAATGCAGTGTTTCAAGAAGGCGACTCACCACTACCTTCTCAAAGGTAATGTACAGTGAGCATAAATGCTGGCTGAGCCACTGAAATGACTTCAGAGGCTGGCATGCCGTGCCATCAGCAATTGTCCATGATTTACAAATGTATAGCCTTTGACAATAGCACTGCTGCTCACTGAGTTGCATTCAGGGCCTCAATATCCCTGACATTGTTAGCGAGATCTCCCTGATCTGGACCAGATTAACAACCCCAATCAGGGAACTCATATTCTGTGAGGTCCAGCTGCAGACCTCATTACAGTCATTAGCATCAGCAATACCCACATCCCATGAATGACTGTGTTACCAGTTGGTAAACATGATTTCTCTTTCTCAAAACAATCTTGATCCTGCCTGATTACCTTGAATTTTGTTAAGTGTCTTAGCTTAGCATCTTTAATAATAGATTCTGACATCCTACGCATGACAGATGTTAATCTAACTGACCCATAGGTTCCTGCTTTCAGAGATTGCAAAATGATTGGTAAGCCTCCAGGTTCAACAATTTATTCAGTGGTATCCCACTGCTGATTGTAATCTTCTTGAGTTCCTCCCTCCCTTTCACTTCTGATTTACTGCTATATCTGGATGTTACTAGTCCTAGAGATCTACAGCATGGAAACAGGCCCTTTGGCCCAACTTTACCATGCTGCCCAGTTTTCACAATTAAACTAGTCCCATTTGATTGCATTTGATCCATGTCCCGTCATACCTGTCCCATCCATGTACCTGTCGAAATGTTTGTTAAATGACAAAATTGTGCTCACTTCCACCATTACTTCTGGCAGCCCGTTCCAGACACACTCTACCTTCCATGTGAAAAAGTTGCTCCTCTGGACCCTTTTGCATCTCACCCCTCTCACCTTAAACCTATGCTCTCTAGTTTTATACCCCACTATAATGGGGAAAAGCTGTTTGTTATCTACAAAAGCTGTTGGCTGATGCCTCTCATGATTTTATAGACCTCTATAAGGTCACCGTTCAGTCCCCTATGGTCCGGGGCCAAAAAAGTCCCAGCCTATCCAACATTCCCCTTATAACCCAAACCTTCCAGTCCGGGTAGCATCCTAGTAAATCTTTTCTGCACTCTTTCCTGTTTAATAGTATCCTTTCCACAGTAGGTCTACCAGAACTGCATGCAGTACTCTAAATGTGGTCTCACCAATGTTTTGTACAGCTGCAACAAGATATGCTAACTCCTATATTCAGTACTGTGACCAATGAAAGCAAGAATGCTGAAAATCGCCTTCACCACCCTGTCTATCTGTGACTCCACTTTCAAGGAGCTATGAACCTGTACCCCTAGATCTCTTTATTCTATAACATCCCCAATGTCCTCCAATGCCTGTAAGTCCTGCCCTGGTTTGACCCGCTTAAAATACAACACCTTGCATTTATCTACATTAAACTCTATCTGTCATTCCTCAGCCCACTGGCCCAGTTGATCAAGATCTCACTGCTTTCCCAGATAACCTTCTTCACTGTCTGCTATACCACCAATCTTGGTGTCATCGCAGACTCACTAAACGTACCTCCTAAATTCTCATCCACGTCATTTATATAAATGATGAATAATAGTGGACCCCGCACCAAGCCCTGTGGCACACCGCTGATCACAGGCCTCCAGTCTGAAAAACAACCCTCTATCACCACCCTCTGTCTTCTATCTGCAAGCCAAGTTTGTAGCCCATTGGCTAGCTCTCCCCGGATCCTGTGAGATTTAAAATTACTCCACAACCTACCATGCAGTATCTTGTCAATGGCCTTGCTAAAGTCCATGTAGACAACATCTATCGTACTGCCCTCATTTACTTTCTTGGTCACCCCTTCAAAAAACTTAATGAAATTCATGAGATACTATTTCCCACGCACAAAGCCATGTTGACTATCCCAGACAAGTTCTTGCCTCTCCAAATGCATGTAGATCCTGTCTCTCAGACTCCATTCTAATAACTTAGCCACCACAGACATTAGGTTTTGATAATGAAGACTGATGTAATGTACCTGTTCAATTCATCTGCCATCTCCTTATTTTACTTATAATTCTCCAGACTCAATTTCTATAGGACCAGCATTTACTTAGCACTTTTTCGTTTTTAAATGTGTAGAAACAATTATCTGCTCTTTTTATAATTTAAACTAGCTTTCTTACATACTAAACTTTACCTCCATTATTAATCTTGTGATCAAATTTTTTTTTAAATATTTTGTCCAATCTTTTGTTCTGTCAACAATGTTTGTGCAATTATGTTTTTTCTTAAGTTTGACACTGTCTTTAACTTTCTTAGTTAACCACGGAAGGTGGCACCTCTTTCTCTAAAGAAGTCTACCAAAAACTTGTAGAAATCCAGAACTGTTGTTGGTGTTTGTAATATTACTGAAACTTGGACAGTGAACATAGAACAAGTAGAAACAATACAAATCCTGGCTGTGAACAGGATATCTTGGTTAATGTGTAGAAAGAAGTCCAAAGATTATTTCAGCTTTGCGTAAAAAATAAGGATATTTTTGGACAAATTAGGTTCAATTATAATATCCTTCAGCAAGGCTTGATAGTGTCACTTGGGAGGGTTTAAACTAGTGTGGCAGGGGTTTGGGAGCCAGAACAGCAGGTCAGTAAGTATAGAGACTGCGGAAGAGCTTGAGACTAAGGCAAATATAGCTAAGAGGAAGAGCAGTCATGGTGAGGTCGCTGAGCTCAGTGGAGCTCGAGGCTCAGACTGTATTTGTTTCAACACAAGAAGTATGACAGGTAAGACAGATGAACTGAAACCCTGGATTAATGCATGCAGTTATGATGCTACTGCTATCACAGAGACATGGTTGAAGGAGGGACAGGATTAGCAGCTCAATGTTCCAGGGTATTGATGTTTTGGATGAGACAGAGGAGAAAGCAAAAGGGGTGGGGGAAATTGCATTACTGGTCAGGAATGTGAAAATAACAGGCCTGTTGTGATGGGTGATATTTACTTGCCCCATGTTGACTGGGACTCCTTTTAGTGCTGGGGGTTTGCGGGGGGTAGCAATTTGTTGGGTGTGTCCAGGAGGGTTTTGTTTTTGAAACAGTACATGGATAGCCCAACAAAGGTTGGGGTCATATTGGGAACGGTATCGGGAAATGAATCCGGCCAGGTGATCAAAGTTTCAGTGTGTGAGCATATTGGGAATAGTGACTGTAATTCCGTAAGTTTTTGGATACCTGTGGATAAGGACAAGAGTGGGCCTCAGATAAAGGTGTTAAATTGGGGGAAGTTCAACTATAACCGAATTAGGCATGGATTGGGAGTGGCTGTTTGAGGGTAAATCCACAACTGACATGTGGGAGTCTTTTAAAGACCAGCAATTAGAAGATCCAAATTCAGGTGCGAATTGCACAATAACTGGCAGAATCCTTAAGAGCATTGACATACAGAGAGACCTGGGTGTGCAGGTCCACAGATCCTTGAAAGTGACACCACAGATGGATAAGTGGTCAAAAAGGCATACAGCGTGCTTGCCTTCATCGGCCAGGGCATGCGAATGTAAAAGTTGGCAAGTTATGTTACAGTTATACAAAGCTTTAGTTAGGCCACATTTGGAATATTGCTTTTGTTCTGGTCGCCACAGCACTGAAAGGACATAGATGCTTTGGAGAGGGTGCACAGAAGGTTTAATAAGATGTTGCCTGGTTTGGAGGATTTTAGATGAGGAGAGGCTGGATAAACTCAGATTGTTTTCACTGGAAATACGGAGGCTGAATTGACCTGATGGAGGTCTACAAAACTATGAAAGGCACAGATAGAGTGGATAGTCAGAGGCTTTTTCCCAGGGTGGAAAGGTAAACTACTAGAGGGCACAGGTTCAAGGTGAGAGGTGGCATGTTTAGGGGAGAAGTGTGGGGAAAATTTTTTTCACACAGACGGTGGTGGGTGCCTGGAATGCACTACCACTGGTGGAAGCAGGCATGTTTGCATCGATTTAAGGTGTTTCTGGAAAGATACATGAACAAGAGGCGAACAGAGGAATTTAAACTGCATGTGGGTAATAAGTAGTGGCTCTAAATAGGGAGCAAGAATTGACGCAGGCCTGTTCGTACACTGTATTGTTACTTCGTTCTTTTTTAACATGCGTTGGATAAGGTATTTGTATAATAATTTTATCTAACTTAGTCATTTGAAATTATATGTTTCATGTCAACCAAAATGTTAATACAGCCAACAGTGTATTTTTTGTTGTTGAGATGTGGGCAACATTAGCAATGCTGTATTTATGACTCAGCCTTCGTTACCTTAAACCACCACTTTGGATATGACTAAAGGTCACTTATTTTTTAAAAAAAGGCATTTTTTTCCCCTGCTGACAGTATATGCTGAAGTTGAGACACGTATTGATTCACTGAGGCTACTTCTGATGAACAAATTACTCGAGATGCCATCAACTTTGCATGATCAGAAAAGATATATAAGGTAAATGAAATACTTCATAATTTGTAAACAATGATGTACTGTGCTAGAACTTATTATAAATGCTGCTGTCATTCTTTTCCATTTGAGTCTGAAAATCTATTCACTCTAATTGGTGAATATTAAAGCTTACAGCTCAATACAGTAACAACTTGCATTTATACACCACCTCAAACATCATAAAGTATCCCAGGTATTTCACAGGAATACTGTAACACAAAACTCATTGCTGAGTCATGTTTGCAGATGTTAGAACAAGTAACCAAAAGCTTGGTTGAAGAGATGTGTTTTAAAGAGCATCTTGAAGATGGAAAGTGAGGTAGAAATCCAAAGATTTCGGCCTTGATAGCTGAAGGAACTGCCAATGATGGAATGATTAAAATTGCAGGCATGGGAGTTGAGAGTGGTACTGAATGTCGTGCAACCATCAGCAGACAATATCCACTGTGGGGGACCTCTTTAGAATCCCCACAGTGTTGAAACAGGCCATTCAGCCCAACAAGTCCACACCAACTCTCTGAAGAGCATCCCACCCAGACCCATCCCCTTACCCTAATCCTGTAAACCTGCATTTCATATTGCTTATGCATCTAACTTACACATCCTGAACACTAGCATGGCCAATCCACTTAATTTGCACATCTTTGGACTGTGGGAGGAAACCGGAGCATCTGGCAGAAACCCATGCAGATATGGGGAGAATATGCAAACTCCACACAGTTGCCTGAGGGTGGAATCAAACCTGGGTCCCTGGTGCTGTGAGGCAGCAGTGTTAGCCACTGATCCACCGAAAGGCAGATACATAGACAGACAGACAGATAAACAAAACACACACACACACACCTTCCATTAAACCCACCCCTACAGGTATACAGAGAGACTCCCACCCCTAGTCACACTCAAACTCCCACCCACCCACATCCAGATCCACACACATCCACCCACCCTCTGTGACACGCATGCAACCACCTCAGGTTGGAGGGACTGTCACTGTGTCCAAAATATATTGGAGGCCACCGCTGCCCACCCACCTGCGACTTTGGCCCAAGGGAAGGAAGGCCTGTTCTGTGCTCCACCATGGATCTGATTGAGGCGTGCACGTCATTATATCAGTCGAGGTTGAACAAAGGTGTCGCGAACCATAATCGCTGAGGGTACCAGTTATCTCCCCAATACCAGCCTTGTAAGGCCTTTGACCCTCAAAAACACCAGACACAAGAGAATGTTCAAGAATGGATAAGTCATAGCAACTGCCAATAGCGTGGGTGTACACCTTCAGTTAGTCGCAATGGTAGTCACAGATAAGATGGGCATTAACCAAATGGAACCCATTCCTGCAGTTGATTCTGGCAGAGTTATGATACGGCCCTCTCAGTGCCATGTGTGTACAGGTGATGGCACCCTGCACCGGGGGAGCCCAAATTTATTAATGAATCCAACTGTCTAGGTTGCAGCACTCATGATATCAAAATGAACCAGTGTGATCTTGCGCAGATGGCATCGGTCAGTGTCCTGATGTTTTTGTTGAGTTGATTTGATTTGATTTATTTACTGTCATGTGTATTTTGTTACAAAATGCAGTGGAATGTGTTGTATGGTGTCACCGTTCTCTGCCATAAACACAGAAAAATCAACCAAAATGTAGAACATAAAGGCAAAAAAAATGAAGACAACGTGTTTAATTTCAGTCAAGTGTTCTGCCATGGGCCTGGTAGCCAGGCATGAGTCCTCTTTGCTGTGTCGCCAATGGAATGAAAGTCGCCACTCTTCAGCGCCATCTATGAGTCCTCACTGGACCTCGCCAATGCAGATATAGCTCTTGGCGCTGGGTACTGTATGGCCCAAGCTCGATTCCACCGCCACCTTGGGTCCACTTTGGATCCACCTCACTGAAGCAGCCACTTCGATGCTGCCAGGTTTCGTGTTGGGCCTCAGCCACCACTGTTTTGTGGGTACATGACTGAGAGACCTATTACTCCCTGGAAGGAGCTGGTCTCACAAAAGTTTAACGTATCAATGACCTTCACACCTACTAGACGAGGATGGCCTCTAACCCTTGCAGTCCTTAGATCTAACATATCATTACTAATATATTGTATATTTGCCCCTAACAGTAGCTATTTTGTAGGACAGAGAATTAATCAGGAGATAATGAGGGCATGTAAAAAGGAAAGTTAATTAATCATGGGTGACTGGAATCTTCATGTAGATTGGGATAGTTAGATTGGCAGAGGTAGCTACGAGGAAGAGTTCATTGATTGTATTCAGGAGAGTTTCCTATAACAAAATGTTGTGGATGCAATCAGAAATCAGGCTGTGTTGGATCTGGTGATGTGCAATGAGGTAGGAAAATAAATAATCTAACAGTAAAAGATCCCCTTGAAAACAGAGACCACAACATGCTAAAATTTAGCATTCATTAGTTTGAATGGGAGGAACTTGAGTTGGAATGAATTGTGCTAAGTTAAATAAGGGTAATTACAAAGGAATGAGGGCAGGGCTAACAGGCGAGGACTGGGATAAGAGTTTAGCAGCAGCTACGGTTGAGAAATGATGACAGATATTTAAGAAAATTGTTTGTGGCTCACAGCAAAGATCTATCCCAGTGAGAGAGAAGATTTCAGGAAGGGAATACGCCAACTATGGTTAAACAGGGAAGTTGAGGATAGCATCAAATTGAAATTTAAAAAAAACATACAATGTGACAAAGATTGGGAAAATTTTAAAAACTAACAAAAAACTACTAAAAGAAAATAGAAGGAGAACATGAACTTTGACGGTAAATTTGCATGCAATATCTAGACATGGACAGCAAGAGCTTCTTTTAGTATATTAAAAGGAAAGGAGAGGCCAAAGTTAACATAAGTCCCTTAGAGAAGGAAATAATAATGGGGAACTAGGAACAAAAACAAACATAACTGGAAAAGCTCAGCAGATCTGGCAGCATCTGTGGAGAGAAATCAGCGTTAATGTTTCGGGTCAAGTGACTCTTCTACAGAACTGAGGAAATGGCAAAGGAGTTGAATAAATACCTTGCATCAGTTTTCCCAGTAGAAGATACGAATAGCATTCCAAAAAAACTAAATAATCACGGGGCAAAAAGAGGAGAGGAAAACATACAATAACTAACTATCTTTAGAGAAAAATGCTAGGGACACTAATGAGGCTAAATACCATTAAGTATACTGGATCTGATGGGATGCATCCTAGGATCTTAACAAAAAAACGTAGCTACAGAAATAGCGGATGTACTGGTAGTAATCTTTCAAGAATCCTTCGATTCAGGAAAATTTTAAAGGATTGGACAACTGCCAGTGTAACACCTTTACTTGAAAAAGGAAGAGACAAAAACCGTTTCTTATAGCCCAGTTAGCTTAACATCTCTTATTGGAAAATATGATGGTCTATTATAGAGATTTAGAAATACATAATACGATTTTGCAGAGTAAGCATGGCTTCACGAAGGGGAAATCATGCCCTGACAAATTTATTAGAGTTCTTTTGAGGATTTAACGAGCAGGGTAGATAAAGGAGAATCAGAGGCTGTAATATAATCTGGATTTCAAAAGGCATTTGATTAGGGACCACACATTAGGTTACTTAAGAAAAGAGCCCATGGTGTTTGTGGTAGTATATTAGCATGGATGGAGGATTGGCTAACGAATAGAAGTTATGAGAATTTATGGGCATTTTCAGAATGGCATCCAGTAACTCGTGGAGTGCTGCAGGGACCAGTGCTGGGACCACAGTTATTTTCAGTATATCTTAATGACTTGGATGCAGAACATGAAAGTACTATCTCCAAGTTTACAGATGACATAAAATAGGTGGGAAAGCGAGTGGTGAGGACGACATGAAAAGTCTGCACGGGGCTATAAACCAGTGAAGTAAATGGGCACAAAACTGGGCAGATGCAATACAATGTAGGAAAATATGATGTTATGCACTTTGCCAGGAAGAATAGAGGACTTGAATATTATTTAAATGTATGATTCTGTAATTGGAAAAAGACTGTAGTATGGTACAAACCAGAGATTTTGGAGTCCTTCTGCATCAATCACAGAAAGTTAACTTACAAGTCCAACAGGTAATAGCGTAACATCTGTTATTGGAAAACATTACAGTCTATTATAAAGGATGAAACTGCAGAGATTTAGATAATTAAAATAATTATTGAATCACTCATTGAATCCCTTCAGTGTGGAAACAGGCCTTACGGCCCAACAAATCCACACCGAACCTCGGAGCTTCCCACCCAGACCCATCCTGCATAACCCATCTGATCTACACCTCCCTAAACATTATGGGCAATTTAGCATGGCCAATCCACCGAGCCTGCACATTTTTGGACTGTGGGAGGAAACCAGAGCACCTGGAAGAAACTCACGCAGACACTGGGAGAATGTGCCAACTCCACACACTGTCACCGAGGGTGGAATCGAACTCAGGTCCCTGATGCTGTGAGGCAGCAGTGCTATCCAAGAAGGTAAATCAAATGTTGGCCTTTATTTCAAAGGGAATGGAGTATAAAAATAGGGAAGTCTTGTTTAAAATGTACAAGATACTATTTGGACCACAGCTGGAATACTAGGAAGAGTTTTAGTCTCCTTATCTACAGAAAGATAGATCGGCACTGGAGGCAGTCTCAAAGGTCCACAAGGATGATCTTGGGTAAGGAGAGACTGACTTATAAGGTGAGGTTGAGTATATTGGGCTTGTACTCATTGGAGTTTAGAAGAATGAGAGGCAACCTTATTGAACATAACATAAGAAATAGGAGCAGGTGTAGGTTACTGGATCATTAAGCCTGCTCCGCCATTCAATAAGATCATGGTTGATCTTTTCGTGGACTCGGTTCCACTTACCCGCTTGCACACCATAACCCTTAATTCCTCCGCTGTTCAAAAATCTATCTGCCTTTGCCTTAAAAGCATTCAATGAGGTAACCTCAACTGTTTCAGTGGGTAGCAAATTTCATAGATTCACAGCCCTTTGGGTGAAGA